ACGGAGGGGCGAGTCGGTTGTCCTCCGACCCGCCCCCCAGACGAGTGAGGCCGTGCAATGCAGGCTCCGGAATGTGTTGCAGTCCTTTGTCATCCCTAGAGGATACGCGATATGCCCGATATATGATTAGTGACGATTACAGGGGAAAAAGTTTCAATAATAGCTGATCATGAGGTAAAAATGAATAAAAGTACTGGGTTTGTTATGTGCTGTACATTTGGTGATGAGCTTGACATATATTGGCAGCAAAAGCTTAACTTGCCGATGAAAATTATCGTTGATCAGAATAGAAGGATAGACCTGCATGCTGGTGTCATTCAGGCAGCCAACACTGGAATCTATAGTGAAATAAATGGACTAAAAGCAAAAGAAGCAAGAAAGAAAACAATTGAAATCCTAACTGAAAAGGGTCTTTTGATAGAGAGCACTAACATTTCTCATTCCGTAAAGTGTGCAGAAAGATTTGGTGCACCAACTACTACTACTAAAAAAATTGCGTTGTACTACATACAAAGTACAACTACATGCGACATGTAGCACAGACAGCGTGCGCATCGGACATGGGGTCAGGAGACAAAGCGGGGAGGGGTGCGTAAGCGGCGTTACGTTGCGAAACTCGAAATTGTTATTATACGCAAAGAATAAAAAGACGAACATGCCTATTTTCGGATTTTGTTAGCTACCCGATAATATTGTCCTGAAGTTCACGACATTATTATCGTTTAGATAGGCACATCATTTTATAGTCGATTTAAAAAGTAATAGTCACCTTGACTTATTTTATACGAAAGAAGATACGTAGTCGAGTATTTAGTACCTATTGTTTATCAGATATCGCGGCGAATATCAAATAAATATTTTTGTAACTAATCTTTTTTACATTGACGAGCTGCAATTTATCAAAGCTATTTAAATTTCTAGAGATAACAAATAAATTAACTAGATGGCGCCTATTGCACAGATTTTTATGGATAGTGCCGGTAATTATTTATTTTGTTTAGGATTTGCGCCATCTACCTATATTAGAAAGCTTTAATATACAAATAAATTTGTAACACACAATGCCATCTATTGACATGCATTTTGTCAAAGTTCAGAAAAAATATTTTAAACCGTGGTCAATTCTTAAATTTCATATAAAAGATGAATTAATCAATAATAATTAATAAATCTACGGCCATTTACATAATAATAGGGGTTAAAGTATGAAATTGCCGATTTGTACTGAAAATCTAAATTGTTTATTTTTTAATTTTTTAACAAATTTATTTAATCAAAATAGTTGCCATTATTATCTATACATTGCTGCCATCTAATGGGAAGGTTATTAATGCCTTTGCGATAGAACTCCGACGAGCTAGACTGCACAAACTGTGTGAAAGCATTTTGTACTGCCTCCTGGGAAGAAAACTTCTTGTCACGTAGATAATTGTCCAAATCACGAAAAAAATGGTAGTCCGTTGGAGCAAGGTCTGGTGAATACGGAGGATGACGAATGGTTTCTAACTGCAGTTCCTGAAGGGTCAAAATGGTTTCTCGTGCTGTGTGAGGTCTCGCGTTGTCGTGGAGCAATAATGGTGAAGATCGATTCATGAGTCGGGGCTGTTTTACTGCTAGTTTTGTCAACATGGTTCGGAGTTCGGCACAATAGACATCTGCCGTTATTGCTTGATCAGATCGGAGAAAACTCTAGTGAATAACACCATGCTGAAACCACCAAACAGTTACCATTACCTTTTTATTGGTAAGTTTTGCTTTAGGACACTGTTGTGGCATTTGACCTGGGGTCAGCCATTGCGTTTTTCTTTTCCGGTTATCATAAAGAATCCACTTTTCATCACATGTTACAATTCGATCCAATATTCCTTCATTTCTGTACCGGTTCAACAAGGCAACACAAGTTTAACACGCGTTTCTTTCTGCAGATCAGTCAAATCATGAGGCACCCATTTTTCGTATTTTTTTATTTTATTGATTTGACGCAAGTGAGTCAATATTGTGGGTAAGGTAACGTTAAACCATGCCGCTAATTCCTGGGTAGTTTGACTAGGATCGGCTTCCACTATCTCTCTTAATTCATCGTTATTCACCTGTGTGGGCGGTCTTCCTCGTTGCTCGTTTTTTAAGTCGAAATTTCCATCACGAAAGCGTTTAAACCAAAATCGCACGGTGCGTTCATTAGTAGACCCCTCTCCAAACGCAGCATTGATATTGCGGGCTGTTTCTGCCGCGTTAGTTCCGCGTCGGAACTCGTATTCAAAAATCACTCGAATTTTCGCAGTATCCATCTTTCTTGTCTAAATTGAATAACAAAAACAATTGAAAGTCGATATTCAAATGTATCAAATTTAAAAAAAAAAAAAATCACAGAAACCATTTGAAAAAAGTTTCATTCGAAAACCTCAAACCATGAAGATTCTATGAAAATTCAAAGAACCTATTGCAATAAAACGGCAATTTCATACTTTAACCCCTAATTATAAACTATTTTCAGGCTATTGATCAGCGCCATCTGGATATAAGAAGAAATTTTGACCTTTTTCAGAGTTACGATCTGGTAATATAGAGATTATCAGTTCTTTGAAGTTATTAGTCCATGGTCATTATAACATTTTATATGCAATCGCTATGGTTATCGACCTAATGTATAAACAAAGGTTGATCTTAACTGATCAAACACAATCAATTTTTATACTGTGATTAAAATTTATTGCATATGTTTAGTGTGGTACGAACGCCGCCGCTAGATGGCGTTGGTTGGATTTTTCATCGAGATTTTATTTATTTACGTATTTAAATAATAAGCTGAAGCATTTTAGTATAATATTTTTTTTACCACCCTGTAGTCTTATTGCCTAGTTACAACCACCTCAGGGCGCCACTTGGTACTGCAGTGAACGAGAACTGCTGCTCGTTATTCATGGAAATGATATACCCTATAAAGTTGTTCAATTTAAAGCTCTCAAGTACTTATAAATAGCAAACGAACTTATTGGCTCAGTGGTTCGCTCCTCTGACCACTAGATGAGGTTTCGGTTTCATTTCTTGATAAATACAAATAAAGAAATTAATATTCGAAATTGACGGCAACCGAGGTGTTACGTGTAGTGCTTCCGCATTATTTTTTATTATTCCACGACCATGAATTCCCTTACTCTAGAATATGGTCATAACCGTTCTAAACCGAGTCTGAATCAGTCTGATTTTCAGATTAAAAAGACCATATCTTGACACCATGCTGCGTATCAATCTGTAAAGTTCAGAAATCAGCTTTGAAAATGCATGTTGTTTTTATAATACTAAGGGACAGGACGAACAAGTCATGTGCCTGGTTGTAAGCGACACGCTTGACCGTAACTTTAAATTACAAAGATCTGTGGGGCACTGACACTACACCCGTCACCCTGAGACATAAATTGACAAATCCCATGTTCATTGTCACGCATAAAAAAATAATTGAAATAAACTCTCGAGGTCTCGTTCTTGAATGGCTTCCAATTTGGATAACATTCTTTGTATTTTACGTGTTGAATTTTAACGATACATTGACATTTCGTCAAGGATAGTGCAAACCTGCGTATGTAGTAGTAGTAAAAAGGTGCGTTTTTGCACGAAACCAAATTTCACGGGAGAGGGATTTGACGTTATTACTATGTTATCTCTATGGCTACGACTTTCATTATTGCACAATCAGCATTAATTTATGTTGTCTACGGACTGATAACAATAGATTATCCGTATATCACGCTAATTAGGTTGCCACGACATTTACGTGAATTTGACTTGGCCACTAAATTGTCGAAATGGAAACTCATAATTAAATGCTAGTTACGCGTAATTGCACTATCCCGGACGATCTGTTTGTTTTTCCTTGATATGTTTGTATGGTGTAACTATCTTTACATATTATCTATCTATTATCTAATAAATACTTAGTTAGATCTAAGTTAGATTAACGTTGTTTGTTTTCTTGTTGACGTTTGAAAATTTGGACTTGACGACATTGAAAATTTTATTTATTTATTTATTGGTTCAGCAAGAGCTTAACGTTTACGTACATTATTATATAATACAAGACTAGTGTGTAGCCCAATTACATCCGAACACAACATCATTGTCATGATAATTAAAAACAACATAATTGAAAAATAACCTATTTAAAAATTATTTTGTTAAAATGGACTTTTCATTGTTATTGTTTACATCTGATTAAAAATTTTAAATGAAAATCTAAAATGCTTCAACTACCAATTTTTTTTTTTATTACATCAAGTGACAGGACGGACAAGTCGTGTGCATTATGATTAGCTACACGCATATCCATAACAGTTGCATTGGCCCTCAGAACTTTTAATCGCAAAAATTTGACGGTGCCCGTCACTCTGAGACATAAGTGGACAAGTCTCATGTGCCTGTAATTTCTCCAGAACCCTTACCCTTCAAAACTGCAACACAGTAATACTGACATTACTTCTTGGCGGCAGAAATAGGTAAGGTGGCAGTACTTCCCTGGACGAACTCTTTCACAAGGAGGTCTACTGCTACTAAAAAATATCTGAGAGTGGACCGCAAAAACGTCCCTATGAGACGGGGCAAATTGTCAAGTTTAAATTACAATGTCAAGATCTGCTCGACTATTCAGGCTATTGTAGTATTGTAATTGAACAGCATTCTGGACACCGGGGAGTGGCTCATTAAATTTGTCCTGGAAAGGGGCAGTTAAAAGGTTGGCTAAGTTGCCTCCTAGAGTTGGGACGTGGAACAGGATGTGCGATTGTCAATAATATGTCCCAGACAACGCAGAGCATGAAGTCGGTTTCCTCTGCATGTAGTTAATGTGAGAAGTCGTTATCAACTTCATGCAGTCGAGGAATCGGATAACGACTTCACGCATCAGCTACAAACATGTAGTCAGTTTGTTCGCAGCCTTAGTGCTAAGTTTGGTATCATTCAACATCTTGACCTTTTTTTTAAAAGAAAAGAGTAGACAACAAACTTACCATGTTCTTTCTCGTAGAATTTTCGAAAAGGTGCCAAAGCAGGGTCGTATTTGACCTCTTCCGGGAGACCAAGCCATAATTGTACAGCCCCAGCAGTCAGCTCACCACAGGAGACCAGGGAATACTGACTCCGGTTCAACTCAGGAGTCGACTCCTTCCTGGAACCACGCCATTCTTTGACACTGTTCATTAACTTGTGCATTTTTTCATTAAATTTGTTTTCATTAGGTTAATACTTTCATTAAATTAATTGTTTTTTATTATTTCATTTATTTTCTACACATTTTTGTTGTTTAACACTCGCGAGTTTCGATTTCTATTATTATATTATTTTTGTTACTATTACACACCATAAAAAATTATGTTAAAGTTTTGTTTTGGTGATATCTCCCATTACTGATTAATTACCAATTATACTGCCCTCCTTGTCATAAACGACGCACTTGCATTTTGGTAACTTCTAGATAATGGCACCTAAAGTTTCTTTGCTAGTAAAAAAATGTCAAATGCTAATTCTGCTTAACAATAAACCTGAAACTACAGGACTACCGCTTATTGAGTAGGTTCCTTTGGAATAGCTGCGCGGTGCGGGAGGAGTAACAGTTTATGTAAGGGCGCGTTCGCATTAAGTCGTAACGTTTTATTTATCGTTGGACGACTGTCGCGTCTAGCCTATTCCCATATCACGACTATGTGTCGTGACTGTCTTTTCTTATAATATCAAGTGACGGGACGAACTAGCTGTGGGCCTGATAGTAAGCTACACACCTGTCCAGGACAGTTGCAGTCCCACTCAGCTCTTTAAATCGCAGAGATCTGAGGCGTACTTTCGCTTCGCCCGTCCTTTAGTTCACTTTCATAACTAAGTTTTCTTAACTGGTTAAGAAAAACCCTTTTTTATTATTGTTTTCACAACTGGTTTTTAAACAAGAATACGAAGTGTTCATTCATAACTGACAATCACAAATAGTTAAGAAACGAATAATTATGATTATGTTTTTATAACTAGCTACAGTCAGCATTAATATTTTTCCTTTAACCTTAAATCAAACACAAAATGTTGCCCTGAGACATAAGTTAAAAAGTCCCATGTGCCTATAATTGCACCAGCACTATTACCCTTCAAAACCGGAACGCAGTAATGACATTACTGCTTGGCGGTAGAAATAAATAAGGTGGCCGAACTTCCTTGGACGAATTATTTCATAAGGAGCTTTACTGCTACTCGTGTCGTGGACTTTTATTTTATTGTTAAACGACTGTCGTGTCTAGCTATTCCCAATAGATCGTATCGACAATTTATCGGCCCACAGCAGTCATTACCTTACCTAAATTGTCGTTTTCACGACAGAATCGTTTGAAGCTGCGATTATCTGTCGTCACATTTTTGTCGTATTTATGTATCATCTGATGAGTGCCATTCAGGCTCTCCCCATTGTCACGTCAGTCTGTCGTCGTAATGTCAAAAAAGTCGTGAATGACAGTTAATCATGTTATATAGATTTTAAGACTTTCGTGGTTATTCACTAAATGGTTATCACTAATATGAGGTTTCTTACCATGGTATGACTTATTTTTGTTTTCCCGATATTTCGGAACGGTTGCACGCTCCATGGAGCAGAGTCAACCCCTGACCATGGAGCGTGCAACCGTTCCGAAATATCGGGAAAATAAAAAGATGTCATACCGTGGTAAGAAATCTGATATTAGTGATAATCATTTAGCTAATCATGTTGTTCGGGGCTTTTAGGCTTCAGCTGAAAACCAGCGCTGAGGCTCTGCCCAGCTTAAAGCTGAGCTGGCTACCTTTTCGGCTAGTATTATGTACTTACTTTACATTTTAACTTCTTTTTTTTTTGTTTTTTAACAGATCTTATGTTAGTTATTATGTTCTAACATTATTTGTGAATAGCCGAATAAATGTTTCTTTCTTTCTTCTATGTGTGAATAAATTCATTTAAATATACAAGCCACGACATTTTAGACTGTATGAATATCTGTTGTCACGACTTAATGGGAACGCGCCCTAACAGTTATGTCGCGCTGCACATGGGATAATTTCAACAATATTTTTCTGACGATGTTCAATAACAATTTTATTGAAAAAAGTAATATATGGCGTTCGAGAAGTGTTATATTCAAAATACTGTTGCATGCTTTTAGCAAATTTCGTCCAGGGAAGTACCGTCACCATGTTTATTTCTGCCGCCAAGCAGTAATGTTAGCCTTAATGCGTTCCGGTTTAGAAGGGTTTCGGCACTGGTGAAATTACAGGCATATGGGACGTGTCAACTTATGTCTCAGGGTGACGGGCACTGTGTCAGTGCCCCTCAGATCTTTGCGGTTTAAAGCTCTGACTGGCACTGCAACTGTTATGGACAGGCGTGTAGCCTACCATCAGGCACACGACTTGTTCGTCCCGCCACTTGATATTATAAAAAAAGCTAACTTACTCAACAAGGTGTGCCTTCAACAATGGCAAACTAACGGGGCCTTGCGCTGACACATGTAAGATTTTATCATAATCGATTTATGATACCAATAATCGATTTCGAACTATTTAATTTCTAAACTGACAACATTCTTTTGTATTTTGAATAACTGTTGCAAAAACTATATAATTATAACAAAAATGAATTTAAATTTGTCATGATTAATTTGTTATTGTTGAAATGCTGTTGTATTGTATTATCATTTGTATTGTTTACGCTGAGGCAAAAGTGGGCGTAACCCTTTCAGCTTTTCGTTGTCCTGTCCACAAAAGCAAAAGTACTTGCATGGAAACAAAGATTTTTTAAGTTTTTTTGTTAGTACTAATTACTAAAAACATATTGATAACCCAGAAACAAGAATCGTGTTGCATGGTGTTATCACAAAATACTGGAAACCTTGGCTAACATTATTACGATCAGAAATTAAACATTTACATGTATATAGTTTACATTTATACCAGAAAAAATGTACATTTATGTGGAAAATCGATTTTTCAGCTACCTATTACAAAGCCAGAATCAACTGCTTTTTGCACCCGTGGCATTGCAAAAACATTACGGCTGCTCCAGAGCGAAACCTAGTAACGGACAAATTTTTGGAAAATTATTTTTTAATGGAATACCACTCCTTTAGTAAGTAAGCTAACTGTCTCCGAGGCCGAACAGTTACCATGCCGGACTGCCACGCAGAGGTCCCAGGTTCGATTCCCGGGCCGGGAGAAATATTTGTATGGCCTACATTTATTTCTCTCGTGTCTTTGGGTGTAACTTATGGTTGTCTATGTGTGTGTCTATAGCACCCGCGACACAGGGTTTCCCTAGTACGGGGCTATGTTGAGTGTGTGCGTTATTATTAAAAAAAAGTATTCACCAAATTGCGGTGACAGCCGCATCGAAATTCGATGGTTTTCTAAAATAGCTGCCTATCTTAAAAACATTCTAATTCATCAAGTGGTTTTAAGAACACAGACGCATTTGCCGCGTAAAAGTGACGAATAGTAGACCATCCCAATGTTGTTATGTGATTATACTGACCAATGAAAACCTCGGAATACTCGGAAAAAATCTCAGTAGTAAATAAAATAAGGATCAATTTTGGATTGGGCTACTTTATTATATATTCTTATAAAGCAGCTTATTCTACAATTTATCAGAGATTTCCAAACTTCAAAACCTAGTAGAAACACCTAATCAGGCCCTGTACTCTCGTTCTTCATTTGACATCCGCCCGAAACTCTAGTTCTCTCCGATATCAGTATTAATTATTTGGCAGTAATTGATTGTTTCGTACAGGTATTGGACAGAGAACGATATTAGACCCCTGGTCCGTGACCAGTCAACAATGTTGTAAGTCTCTTTAACCAATTCAAAACATAGCGAGTATTTGAGACATGCTATACTTTAAAGTAGTTAAAGCGCCATCAAGTATTTGAATTGGCAATTAGTCGACAATAATCTTCACTGATACTTATAGTTTTACTTTATTTATTAATTTAATTATTCGAATAAAATAAAATTTTATTCCAAATTTTCTAATGTGTGTATACTGCGTTTAGTTTCTGGCTGCTACAGTAACTTATGTATCTCGCGAGCTGCACACGTGCGTTGAGTTGTGCGATAAGATGTATTTAACTGCACGCATCCAGCACGCATCCAGCACGCATGCAGCACGCATGCAGCGCGTTCGTGGCGCTTTCACCGAATCTGAATACACTACGGGTATAAAGTACGTAATATCTATGCTTTATTTTCTCAAACACGTATCTTATAAAGAGTGATTGATTATTCAGGAGACGGTGAAACTTTCTATTTATTTAAAATTTGTTATTAAAGGTTTGGATGCGTTACTTTAAAAGTAGGTAAAAGCTAGGGTGTAAATATGATGGAAATGTAATATGAAATTAGCCTGCAAAATTTGTATATACAATTCATTTTTTGCATTTCAGTAACTTTGAGTTTTAAGATACGAATTTTTAAAAGTAAGGCAATGACGTGCAAGTTGTGATCATTTTTGTATACATCAATCTTAGAATAATGACGCATAGAATGATAGTTTCATATCAAACGAACTAGGTTAGTTTTAGTAGTAGGTTAATTTTCGGTTTTAGTGAATATTTATATAAAAATACAAGTTGAAACGCCTTACTTCCTTGTGAAATGTGATGTTAGTATCTATTTTATGTTTGTCTGACGTGTTTTTACACTCATTTACCGCAAATTTCGGCATTTTTAGCTAAAATTCTTGATCTATTCGCGGTGCAAGTTGACCTTGAGCACGGAAGGCCCGCCCGCTCGTGTAGGCCCATTGGGCGCGCTTCAATTTGACTCACTTAAGGCCCATTTAGATGGGGAGAGTTTCTCGCACGCTTCGTGACGAAAACTCGTAGGCGATTATCGTAAGCAATAATCGCCATAAGATTATCGTATTATAATGTTTACATTCAGGCAAGAACTAAAATCTCGCCTACGATTATGTCATACGAGTTTCGCAAGCAACTTAATCGCCTCCTCGACTGTTTACACGGAGAAATATGTAGTAAGGAGATTCTTGCTTACGAGTTTTCGACTTGTCTAAACACGATCTCGTATGACATTTTTTCAAGTTCATACGATTATCGTACAAATCGGTTCGAACCGTTTTGAGTGCGAGAATTGCCATTCGAGTTCAGTGATTACTGCGGTATGACTATGGATATATCAAAATGATGCA